ATAATAATAATAATAATAATAATATATTATACTAATTCGAAGAAGTAAACAATTTTCTTATGAATCAGCACTAAATTTTCACTCAGCCTAACTTTTAGTATTTGCGAATTAATCCAATAGCTCGCTTATTTATATTCGACTTTTAAAATTATAGAAACCAATACAAAACGTATAATTTTTTATTTAAGGCGGTAACCCAGTATAATTAACTAGACCATCTATGAATACTTCACTTAGATTAGAGTTGAAGTTGAAGTGGTTAACAGTTCAAAGTTTAATTTTAAGCTAAATCTTGATAAATGCTCAGAAAATCAATGTATCTGTTTGGCTGAGTCGATTATTCATTGCGGTTCATTGAGTGATAATTGATGTCTAAGTAGAGCAGTGGGAACGGATCAAAAAACCGATCAAGCAACAGCTAGCAATAAAAGAGACGCAACTAAGTTCTTATCTGGTTAAAAGAGAAAGAAACTTCACAAATTAGTAAGAAAGTGAAACTCCTAATAAAGTAACAGATGTAGATCTGCGAGTCATTTATTCGAAGCGTTTGACATATGAGTTTGTCTACGACACAATAACATTACTTTCGTTTAATGATTTAAGCTAGTTAGTATTACTTCATATATACTCTTCATATATCATATCAAGAAACTGAATCAGTTTAATCTTTACCACTTTTACCTTTGCTCGAAGAAAGCAGCTGTCGAAAAGTATATTCAATGTATAGCACTGTGCATAGCATTGTTTTATTACCAAGCAGTGAAAGAGATACAAAATACTTAACTCGAGTTAGTTTAAATAATAGACGTTAAATACTTGCTTCCGGGGTGTAAGGCAACAAAGAGTCAAAAAGTCATTTAAAAAAAAAATTTACTGCTTAATCTTTCATTTTATTTGGTGTTTTCTCACTATCTTTTAAGTGATTTGAATTTTTGTCTTAAAAACAGCATATCTTAATCTGTGAATTGTTGAACAATAAAATTTACTACTTAAGATACTTAAGAAGATAAAACAAAAGTAACGTAAATATTGAAATTTTCTTAAGCAAATAGACGACGGTCGTTTAAGTATCTTTGACTGTTATTTTGTTACTTTTAAGTTGTGAAGTAGTACAAATATTTGCATATTCTATTTAACACAAAAAACAACACTCTATCTGACTCTTCTGGTTAAACGAAGTTGAAGTTTTTTAACTTTTATTTTAATGCTTTTACTACTTTTTATCTCTTTTCAATTTATCTATAATCCTTTGAAGCTCAAAAGATTTAACAAGAACATTTTAAGGAGTTCATAATGTATCTTCTTATCTTAAGTTGAACTAATAAAAAATGAGTATAAATTGAAATAAACAAACAAATGTACTTTAGTAAAAGCATAAGTACTTTTTTAAGCTTACCAGTCAAGTAAATCTTTGCAAAATGACATTTAACTAAAAAGTTAGCATTTCTATCTGTTTTTTACATTATTTTTTTTTTGTAAGTAGATAATTTAATTCAAATTTTTTTTTTGATGTATAATGTTCTAACTTTAAAATGTGAAAATATTTTTATTAAGCAATGTATTTACTTAGTGTGAATAATTACGAATAGTGTTACTGTATTTATACTGTTCTCTTTAAGTTCTCTTTATTCTTTGATGTACGTTAATAAGTTTTAAAATAACACAGTATTTCAAATAACATTTACAGATACTTACTTACTTACTTATTTTGGCCATAACGACCCGTTACCGAGTTTCGACCTGACGCAGCATGTCTCCCCAGGCGCCTCTGCTGCGTGCGCGCCTTCTCCAGTCTCGTACATCAAGTCCAGTTAGTGCTCCCTCAACTTGATCACTCCACCGAAGACACATTCTACCTTTATGTCTTCTTCCGCCAACTACTGTTTCAAACACCTTTTTCGCTGGAGCATCTTCATCCATTCTCACGACATGACCAAGCCAGCGAAGCCGCTGGATGTTCATCAATGTCGTGATAAAGCTCGTACAGCTCGTGGTTCATTCTTATGCGGTAGTCGTCGCCAACTCGTAGAGGACCAAAGATCTTACGAAGAACTTTTCTCGAAGTATATGTCGGCTACTGGTAGAAATGTGCGTCGCTCGGACGCCGAGCTAGTGGCTGGCGACTATACTTTCGGATCTGTCAAGGATTTCATCTACCTTTGCACCGCGTAACATTTACAGATAAAGACAATAATTAGACTCAGACAGATGAGGTGTTTGGTAGATTTGAAATAATATCACAGCAAAACAAAAACTTACCAATTGTTTTATATGTCTACATTTTTTAGATATATATTACTTTAAATAATTTTCTTTAATAATCACAATTTTTAATATCAAATATTCTGTTTCTTTTTATAGAATGTATATAACAATATCTAATACTTAAAAGAATTAAAACTAAGATAAAAGTTAAGGCTGTAGATATTTTGAAATAAATATTTAAATATTTATTTTATATTATATACATATTTACATTTTCTTATCTCTACTATCTATATATATTTATCAATACTCTCCCTCTATAAGATCCGGAGTGTTTATTTTAACGGCGTTACGCCTGCAAGCATCTTAAAGATATAAATGCGTATCTCGTAGATGTACAAGTACATACTTAGGCTTATATATTTTTGCACTTAAGATATATTTCACGTTGTACTGTAGCTTACGAGAGCATAATATTTTCTCTACGAAAGAGTATTCTTAGTCGGTGTGTAGTCATTGATATGAAATAAGCTGACTGTGCATGAGCAACTTGTATCTACGAATAAAGGAAATTACTTTCGCGCAATGAGCATATGCAGCGGAAAAAAGCTCCCGCATAATATTACTCATGCTGTCTACTCACATATCTGCTTTTGATTTAATCGTACCTCTAAGAAGCAATGCTCGTTGCTAAGTTTATAATTCATACACATTATTGCATTACCATTACATTTTAATATTAATAAAATAATTTTTCACTTTACTACTCTAAAAAGCTGGTAGTTTAAGAACAAGTCTATGAAAGATTGCCGGGCATTTGATTTGATATGTCATGTTTCCTATGCAGTGATCTAGAGAGTTTCTATAATACGAGTTTTTCGAAGTTCCAAGACCTAACTGTATAACTTTGCTCAATTAATTTTCTTAAGAATTTTGTGAGATAAGTTTCTGATAGTAGTGCGGTATTCTAAAAACCTTTTTCAAGACTTTAAGCCCTACTGTTTGCTAAGGCTGGATGATATAAGAATTTCTTAATTCTTTCTCTTCCGCTTCTTTGAGTCTACAAAGATTATCATTAAGAAGATTTATCATTCAAAGAATATAATATTGTCAATTTTGATCCTATTTATAAATAGCCAGATTTCATCAGTTTTGTTGCAAGTGTTCTCATTTTCCCAATTCAACTACTTTAAGAGGTTACTCGTAAAATTTTAGAAACTCTTCAGAAAACAATTTTTCCTATATTCATTTATATTACAAAAATTTTAACCCAAACCAATTTATAAGTTATAGTTTTGGTTTCAGATACTGAACTAACTCAAACCATCATTGCTGTTGCAGAGATAGAAGACACATTATTCATTATTTTTAAATTCTTATATAGTTATATAGTTCTTTTCATATTGAATGGAAACTATTTTTGATAGTTTCTGAATTATCTACATAATTGCGTAAATAATACTTTTTATAAAATGAAATGACAACACTTTGGATCACTCATTTTGATGGTTAGCTAGATCACAATAAATACCATAATTAATAGGTTTGGGACCCACTCCTTTGAAACTACTATTATAAATTAGTAACTTTCAAATTAAAAGACTTTAATAATTACTTTTTCATAATATTTTATTCATTTTAATTGAGTTATTATTCACAAGTAGCAGAAACTTCCCACTTACAAACAATTTGCACAAATAATTAGAACTTTTTAATATATCATTTAATCACAGTTAATGCAAATGATAAATGACCAGTAAGCAATGGACCATTAATAACACACAGTCACAGTTGTAGGTGGTTAAAATATTTTCATACACTCCTCAACTGACAAGTGCACAGTAGCTTGAATAGAAAATTAAGTTATTTGTAATAAAATAAATCAAAATATCCCCGTGGCTGCTCAATTTACTTTCTTGTAAGACACTTTCGTTTAACAAATAGACAGACATTGTCTGGTTTGCATGCCAGCGTACGTAGTCGCATTTTTACTGCTTATAGAAAAGATCAACGACACTAGATACAAATGTATATTACAGATAGTATTTGCTTTTTCTTATCGTTTGTTGTCACACGATTTTGCTGTTATAAGTGCCGATGCTGCTGCCAGCTACAAACTGTTGCTGCTGCAGCTGCAACTGCAACTGCATTGCCGTATCTGTATCTGTATTCGGTATATGATAATGCTTCAGTTGTTGATGCTGATGTTGATGCTGATGCTGATGTTGATGATGACGATGATGGAATGCATCTTTTCACATTGTTTGACTCAGAAATGGTCTTGGCAAATGCATTCTTAAGCGTTAAAAATGAAACGCACATTTTATCAGCTCAGTTTTAGTTATTTTTCCTTGCACAATCGTGTTTATCTGCACATGCAACAGCGACTACAACAAATTGTTGCAGTTAAAATTGCAGTTGC